TCTCACACCTAACATGCATTGTCTGACCTAAAATGTCACCTCTTCTTTACACTGATAAAACCTTTAGTTCTCTCAGGGCAGTGACTTGAAAGGAATTTGGGGATTTACATATACATATTAATCAATTAAAACCTTCCAACTGATTAAAAAATTAACAGCATCTTAGGTTTATTTAGTACATCCTCATCAATGGTGTGATCCTTTAATCTTTTACTTATAAACTCTGTGTCTGATACTACATCTCTCACTAACAACTGAAGAAGGTGAGGCTCCGAAAGCTTGTGTTTTCAAATAAATCTGTTGGACTATAACCTGGTGTCGTGTGATTTCTGACCTGTACAGAGCAAGGCATAGAAGTTCCAACTGCACAGGAGGTGCGCAAAGCAAGATCAATGTTAGTTCAAGTTACAGAGTCCATTCATCTGCCTAATAATGGCACAGAAGAAGCTGTTCTTGAACGTGCTGGTGTGTGTGTATTCAAGCTTCTGCATCTTCTGCCTAATGGAAGAGGTTGCAGGAGAGCTTTACCGGAATGGGAGGGGTCTTTGATGATGTTGGCAGCCTTTCCATGGCAACGAGAAGTGTACATGGAGTCCATGGATGGGAGGTTGGCTTCCATGCTGGTCTGGGTTGTGCTCACAACATTCTGTAGTTTCTTACGTTCTGGGCAGAGCAGTTGCCATACAAGGCTGTAATGCACCCGGACAGTATGCTTTCTATGGTCCATCTGTAAGCGTTGGTGAGGGTCTTTATGGATATGCCAAATTTCCCAAGTCCCCTGAGGAAGAAGAGACGTTGTTGTGCCTTCTTGACTGTCGCATCTACATGGGATATCTAGGATAGTTTTTTTTGGTTATCATCGCTTCCAAAATCTTAATGCTCTTGACCCGCTCCACCTCAGCTCTGTTGATGTAGATGGAGGTGTATCCTCCTCCTTTCTTCCTGAAGTCAATGATCAGTCCTTTTGTTTTGCCAACGTTGAGAGAGGGAGGAGAGATGACTCTCCTCAAGCTATATTTTTCTATTCTTCCTTATTTTAAAACTATTCAAAATGGTGCTAGATTGTGGTGACAGTGGAAAAGCTTTTCATTGTATTTTACTGCTTTTTCCTCTGTAAAACACATGTGACAATAAAATCATTCATTCATTCATGATGATGTATGAGCAGGTTATTCATTTTGTTTCCCTCGGAGGTCCCTTGTTTCCTGGTCAACCGTCTTTTTAAAGACTGCTTGTGGCAAATGCCACCACATGTGCATGGGCAGAATCAGATTATTGAATTCATATTCACAATTCGGAAATGTCTGAGCTCAAGGAACTCAAAATCCTGACAATTGTAAAGTTAACTGTTTCACTGGGGCTCACGCTGACTCAGTTGACTGACTGATTCAAGTTCCACCCCTCACGCTAAATGAATTTGCTAGTGCTTTTGTCATACAACTTCTGAGTTCATTTCTATTGACTTCCAGCAGAAGTAGTCGCCACTCACCTCTCACCAACATTATACTGTCGAAGGCAGTTTAGGGCTGACAGGAAGAAAGAAGCTTACAATGTCAGGAATAATCACAAAATTGTTATAGTGTGGAAGAAGACCATTTGTCACATCATGCCTGCACCAGTTTTATTACCTAATGCCAATCACCTCTCTTTTTCTACACACTATTGCTATCCATGTAATTATCCAATGCCTGCTTGAATGTCTGAGTTAAGCATGCTTCCAGACATTACCAGGCTGTGCATTCAAACCATAACAACTTGCTGTGAGAAAAGTTTTTTTCTCTCACATCACTTTTGCTTTGTTTGTCATCACTTTAAATCTATGCCATTTCATTGTTTTATGAGTGCGAACAGTTTCTCCCATTCTACTAGATCCAGCCCATTCATCTTTTGAAAACCTCTCTCAAATCTTATCTCAGTTTTCTTCTATCCAAGGATAACAGTCCCAACTTCTTCAATCTATCTTCGCAACTGAATTTCTCATTCCTGGAGGTACTCTTGTAGAATTTGGCAATACAGTTAAAGGAAGGAAGTATTCAAGAAATGTCACATAGGTTGTTCACACGCATGTATGAAACTGCCCAACAGTAAATTGCTGTAGCATTGGAAACACAAACTCCACTTCCTGTATAATCTACTTCTGCAAACTTAAAGTCACACTTTATTTGAAAGCATTTTATTATCCAATAGCTAAAATAAAACAATTTTACTAAAATAACAATGAAGTAATCTGAGAAGAGTGCCCCATAATTAGCAATGCAGTGAATCAGTTTGGGAGGAGTGTCCAGCAGTGAATATCACAGTGAGGCAGTCTGGGAAGAGTGTTCCACAGTCAGACTTGCAGTGAAGCATTTTGGGAAGATTATCCTGCAGTGAACATTGCAGCAAAACATCCTGGGAAGAATGTCCCGTAGCAGGATTGCAGTGAAGCAGTATGGTAGGAGTGTCAAAAACTGATGCCAGACACGAGGAAGCAACTGATTGGATGAGTAAGGTCAGGTGAGTATTTATCCTTCTTCTATCACTTACAGCTCATAACGTTTCAATCTTGGGTTAATAATTTGTCAGGGTAACAGTGCAGAAGTCGAGTGAACAAGGACCCTAGCATAATTAATTTATTTGATTTTAAGGGCAATATAAGTGTTTATTTTAAACAGGTATGTCATGGAGGGAGAGCTCAAGGATATGGTATGCTCCTCCTGGTGATAAGCCAGGCGCAGTAACCAGGATTAGAACTTGTCCAGGAAGTGTCTCCAACTGTAACTCCTGGAAGCCCAAGCCAGAGTAGCAACTGAGGAAACAATGGAATATTAATAACGTGGCCAGAGAAATAATGTATGCATTAGTGGTCATCTTTTAAGGTTCTATAGGCTCTGGAACAGTTCTCTTGGATTGGAAAGTAGCTAATGTGACCTTACTGTTAAGAAAGAGAAGGTAGAGGGAAAACAGGGAATTATAGACCAGTTATCCTGACATTGGTAGGAGGGAAAGTGCAGAGCGTTCAGAAAACAGTGACAGGATTGGACAGAGTCAGCATGGATTTACAAAAGGGAAATCATGATTGACAAATCTGTTGGCATTTTTCGAGGATATAATGAGTAGGTTGATAAAGGGGGAGTCAGTGGATATAGTTAACTTGGCCTTTAGAAGGCTTTTGATAAGGTCCCACATATGAAATATAAAATTTAAGTACATGAGATTGGGGATAATGTAGTGACATGGATAGAGAACTGGTTGGCAAATAGATACAGCAGGTATTAAAGAAGACGAACAGTATGTTGGCTTCATAGCGAGAGGATTTGAGTACAGGAGCGGGACGAACTTGCTGCAATTGTTCAAGTGACACCTGGAGTATTGTGTGCAGATCTGGTCTCCTTCTCTGAAGGACTGATTCCTGGGATGGCAGGACAGGTGCATAAGGAGAGACTGTATTAGTTAGGATTATATTCGCTGGAGTTTAGAAGAATGACGGGTGGTATCAGATAAGCTATAAAATTCGAACAGGACAAGATAGGGTAGATGCAGGAAGGTTGTTCCCAATGATGGGGAAGCCATAACCAGGGGTTACAGTGTAAAGGGTAAGGACTGAGATACTGAGAAATTTCTTCATCCAGGGTGGTAAGCCTGTGAAATTCATTACCACAGAAATCAGCCAGGGCTAAAACATTGCATGATTTCAAGAAAGAGTTGAAAATAGCACTTAGGACTAAAGGGATCAAAGGATATGGGGGAGAAGCTGGAGTAGGCTATGGAGTTAGATCATCAACCATAATCATAATGAATATGGAGCAGGCTCAAAGGGCTGAATGACCTACTCCTGCTCCTATTTTCTATGTTTCTATGTTCCAATTTTGTTGGCTATATTCCATTGCCCTAGGACTGATTTGCCAGGTTATTTCAGAGAGTGTTTTAAAGGCAGCCACAGCCTTGAGGTCTCCCTCCATGACTTACCTGTTTAAACACCTATATTGCCCTTAAAATCAAAATTACGCTAGGACCCTTTTTCACTGGACTTCTGCACTATTACCCTTACTCTTACTTTACAGCTTGGAGGTCTTTTCCAACTGCCCAAAAACAATTTACTGGAAGACATAGTAACTTCAGTCCCTGTTGCTGGGCAACCTCCCCCAAAAGGACCGTTCCAATACCCAACTTTTTTCCAGCAGTGAAAAGCCAAAAAGCAACATCTTGGATTTCTTTGAAAGCTTTTCTCCCAAATTCACAATCCCCACTTTTTTTTAACCTTTTGACTTATAAAATCACATGGCAAATCCTTTACAACCCTGATAGATTGTAGGAACTGCCGATGCTGGAGAATCTGAAATAATAAGGTGTAGAGCTGGATGAACTCACCAGGCCGAGCAGCATCAGAGGAGCAGGAAAGCTGACACTTCTGAAGAAGGGTCCAGACCAGAAACGTCAGCTTTCCTGCTCCTCTGATGCTGCCTGGCCTGCTGTGTTCATCCAGCTCCACATTTAGTTATCCCTTTACAACCCTGGACAAATCTTCCTTTTCAACACTGCTTAAAATCCATAAATATATAATGTCCCCAACCTTAGTAAACTTGGGGTAATTATTCCCAGCCTATTTTGTTTTTACTAACAAAATTAGTATGCTTAATTAGGAATGAAATTGTAATCATATAAAGTTATTGTAATCAAATCTAACTGTGGGATTCAGTTCGAAATGAATAATATGAAACCTAGTTATTCATTGTTATTTTTTGTTGTACACTTTGGTTTCTAGGTGATAACATCTGGATAATTCTAGATGGTCCAGTGGATGCTATTTGGATAGAAAATCTAAATTCTGTCCTGGATGATAACAAGACATTAACTTTAGCTAATGGTGACCGTATTCCTATGGCTCCTTCTTGCAAACTATTGTTTGAGGTACACAACATTGAGAATGCATCTCCAGCCACAGTGTCCAGAATGGGAATGGTGTACATTAGCTCTTCTGCTCTCAGCTGGAAACCAATTTTGAAGGTAACAGCCTCAGCATCAAAATCCTCCCTCATAATGAGCTCCTCTCTGTCCCACTGTGAGCTCTTCTCATTGTCGCACTGTAAGCCCCTCTCCCTGTCCCACTGTAAGGTCACTATCTCACTGTGAGCCCCATTCCCTGTCCCACCGTGAGCCCCACTCCCTATCCCACTGTGAGCTCTTCTCATTGTCGCACTGTGAGCTCCTCTCCCTGTCCCACCGTGAGCTCACTATCTCAGTGTG